TCCTGCTAAAAACCCGCAACTCTATCGGAGAAGCCAACAACCCATTCGTCATACAGTAAGACCATTCTGTAGCGAGTCGCTCCCCATAGTACCAACTTTTAGTTGGTTTCTTTGCAGAGAGAATTCCCAACCTCCTGATAGCAGTAAATAAATTGGATCCTTCCCAATCAATATCAGCACATGCCACATACATTCTGCATCGATAGGGCTTTTTTTAGTCGAAGTCTCGCAACAGATTATGTTGAGAACATTTTAAGTGACTTCTTGGCGTATTCCGCCCCCAGATTTGCGGAGTGAATATTAGGGTGGTTTAATGAAGCGTTCTGCGTACAGATAAATTAAGATATTGTCTCGTAATTTAATCGCTGAATTTCACACATGATAAGGTAATACAATGCGCGTCACCTTGCTTCTGCTGACTTGAGCTGTCCATTATGTTCAGATCTACAACGAGTTACACCACAGTTTTGTTCAAACACTAATCCATCTTCAAGTTTGAAGAAAACGCTCTTGATGTGCGTACGTGTATGTTTTAGGAATATTTTATTTCGATCACCGAACGAATTATAGGTAATCTTTCGTCGTGAAGTGTGCTTCCATCTCACGTTTTGAGTGGCGTCAGTCTGTACATGGAAGCCTCATTAGGCAACTTCAGAAATTCCGGTAATTTCTCTTATCCGTTTAGCGGTCATGTAGTTTCTTTTTAAGTTTGTGAGTAACTGAGTGACTATCTTCCTTTGCATTTCAGTGCTCGCGCATTTGGTGGCGTTTATGAGGTCACTCCCGCAGAAAGAGCCGCTCTTGGAGACCGTCAACTTGCTCCTCTGTGTCCGCGATCCAATCCCGTACGTCACAACCCAATAAAACTACCGACTCGGTTTTCTAGACTGAATTCACACTGTGTGCGACAGTCAGTTCGGTCTACCCATAAACCTAGACACTCTGAGTTTCCTAGGCTTACCTATGATGAGGAAATGTCGAGGTGGGACAAGATGGTTCCAAAACTCAGGAGATCTTCGTCGTCGGCGTCGATTACTCGTCAGACGAGCGATTCCGAGGCATCCTACCTGCAGGAATATTCAGCTGCACGATATGCTTGCAAACCAGAAGATGCAGTGTCGCTTGTTTTTGGAGACAGCTGTGTACAGCCGGAGAACGACTCAGTCGTTATAGATTTTTTACCACAGTGAAATGTATTACTCGGAGTGATGTATGTTGCCCATTCTCGCTACTCGAGTTATGGTACTTCCCTTCCTGACTTACCGCGTTACTCCTACTTTATTCTATTTCTGTCCTGTAAACCTTGATATTCGTGCCCCACTGCTATCGCCACCGACCTTCTTATATTCATATTCCTTGAACCGCTTTTCAACTGCATTTGTACTGTTATGTGTGATATTTATTTTCACCGACTCCTGCTTGCCATTTGTTCAGTAAGGCCATCCTCATGGTTGTAGTTCTTGTTTTTGCCTCGTGAATAAGAAACGACCTACGATTTGGAAGACACCGGTTCCTTTTTAATTTCTGATTGAAGATCATAGTTGATTCCCCGTGTTGAATAGTGATCGTCCGAATACACTCAGTACACGTCTGAATTCTTTCGGTCGAACTAATATTCGTCTCGTTTGATGGCGACAAATGAATTTATTTGTGTATCTGCAATTCATAGTTGTACGTGGACTGCGATACTGCCAGGGCGCCCACACCTAGACAGGAGGACCATTAGGGTCCTCATCCAAAGCCTTTAGCTCAAAAGCCTAACCGCAAGGCAGCGGTGTTCGGCTGGAAATGCAAGTACATTACAATATTTTACGGAACACTTCGCCATACATGTTCCAACCCCCAACCTGGAGGGCCAGGAGACTGTGTTCGTCGGACCTCTACCCGTGGACCAACCTGGT